TAATTCAGGTTAAACATATATACACTTCTCACACACTACTTACATTCACTACACTTAACGCCTGGACGAGCCTTGGGGTCTTTCTTCGCTTCTGAATCAGGTACGGACTATTTATTTACCTAGCCTTATCTATATCGTGTAGGTCAATTCTCCATAAGGCCATTTGGGCCCCGTCCTTAGTTATCCGTCGAGTCTACAGCTCTATGGGCCCCTGTATAGTCAACTTTGTCGGGAAAGCTAAGGGCGTGTACATTTTTGGTAGCAGAGCGTAGTTGATTGGTTCTCCAATCGCCCGGCCGTAATATTAATAAAAAATAGTATGTAATAAATACGTGTGTACGTAATATAAATATTTTTTTGTTTGTTAGCTTTATTTATATTGTATATTGAGAACCTTAGGCTTCTTTTACTGATAACGAGGCATTTTCCATATTTGACCTCATTGGTGATAATGCGTCTGCATTTTGATTCTAAATGGAGTATAGATATACAAGTACCAAGTTCTAACAGTGCACCCAGCTGAAAACCCAACAGAGATTGGGAGAACTAACTATGTTTTGTTACTTATGATTTTATGGTTGAACTAACTTGGAACTGTACTTGGAATTGTAAGTGACAATAAGTAGAAAATAAATTACTAGCGAAATTTATTTAAAAGCAATCTATATTAATTTAATATTTTCATACAATGAAGTGACTACGTTAAAGTACAATAATTTGTAGATAATAATACATTTTTTTTTAATAATAATTACGTTTAGATTTCTTTGCAGTACAGGTGATTATGTTTGAGTGTTCCATCCGCATTCTGTTGAATTGTAAAAATCCTTTTGGTAAGAAGTTATTGATCTCATATTTCTTCGTTGCTGGTCCTATGATTTTTGATAAAATGGACTCATAACTTACAAGTTTTACCTACCCTTATGCCATGAGACATTTTATTAAAATAAATATTTACCGAAAAAATCAGCGAAACTAAGTGCATAGTTACATTTTATGGGTTGCTCATATAATATTAACTTTTATTGTAGCATAAGTACTCACCCTCGGGTTCAGGCACTAGGTATTTAATTTGTTTACTTCAATTAAAGTGAACTTAATGTTAGAAGGCTGTTAAAGCCAATTGACACCTGCAACGAAATCTTAACAAAGAATGCCACATAATGAGGAGTTTTCATACACGTCCTTAAAAGGTTAAGAATAGAGAGAATGCCTGTTTATAAATATATTGGCTCTATTTACGTAAATGTAGTATTATCGCACGCAGTTTTACTATATTATGTAGAACTTAAAATTAAAATATTTTACTATTTTATATATTATATAGTTTTACTATATTATAAAGAACGAAACAGTCCTCATTTTTAAATAACATTTATGAATTTTTTAAAAAAATATACAGGGTATTTTTGGAACGCTCCCGAAAACTAAGACAGGCGACAGCACCAAGTATACCTTTGATCATGGGTTACAAATAAAGTCGATCCTGATGAAAAAAAAATCATCTTTTAACAACGTTTTATTAGCTTTACTCACGCGCCATCATGTTAGTACAGCTAAATGAAACGATAATTTCATAAAAAATATCATGAAAATACTGAAACATAAAACCAGCAGTGGAAACTGAATTGATATCACCTGACTAATGGAGGTTAATGTACGCGCGAACGGTGAAAAACAAACGCTGGCCTTGAACTTGGGCACTGAGCGATTTATCACATATTGGTACGAAAGGCGCGCGACGGGGGAACAATCCGCCAGTATTAGTGTGCCTGCATGCTATTGGTTCCCGCGCTTTGTTCGCTCCAAAAATACAGTCGCATACACAGCTTACTTTGCGACTCGCGACGATGTTTTAAAAAGGAAGGAAAGAAAAATTATTTATATCTATTGTTTTATGACTAAACTAGTGATCGAAAAGGTAAATATGATAGGAGAAGGTGAATGGGGAAAATTGTGCAGTAAAGTTAAAAGTGTGGAGGAAGAATACCGAAAAAATTACCATGTGATCGACCTGATGACGGAAGCTCAAGCGAAGATGAAAGTGATGATCAAGTAGCATCCAGTAACACCAACACACCATTAACATCTGGCTTCCATGTGACCCAAGACGTCATAATGGACGGCGTGTTACCCTTAGCTAAAGTTTTCTTGTTACAAACTACTTTATATTTTACGATAGAAATAACAAATAATGCTCATGTAAACATTATCCATTTTTAATTCCCACCTCTTCCAAAGTTCTAAGTAGCTAGTAAAACACCTATTATGATTCTACATTAAAACAATTAATTACTATAATATTATAAAACAATAGCCCAATACCATGTAGTACTTTAGAACGCGATTGTACCCACACCCCCTCCGCTATCGACCTGTATCTAGCTCGGTACGAAACACGCGGTCGTAAGAAAAAAGGGCGCATCTAACAATTTATGAATAAATGAGTTAAATATACCATTCGATTCATGATAAGAAGGCGCATCTACTAAATTTTTTTAATATTCACAAATATCAATATTTTAGAAATTATCGTAAGAATTTTAGACGTAACTGTTGATCACAGATGACTTTTTTTAGTAGAAAAGACTTATACAAATTCAACATAAAAGAAAAGACTTATTTAACCAGTTGCTACGTCATCTTTAACAATATTTGCATCGATTACTTAAATTTCAATTATTCTTGGTCTTGTCTTATTATTCTATATCTTATTATTAAGAGCTTATATCTTATTGTTAAGAGCTGGTGTTTCACATGTGGTCCCATATAAATTTGATCGAGGTCAGACCAATAGTTTTTGAGTTATCCTTAATTATTTATATTAAAGTCGGTTGTACAAAATTTTTAATTTTTAATTATTATCGTAGTAAGTCTTGTATGATATCCCCTTTAAAATCATTACTTTTTAAAATTATTATTTTTTGTGTCTCACTACCAATGCTTTTCTAATATTTATTAAAAAAAAAGTAGTAAATTACTATTAGCGTCCTTTCAACTTCAAATGACCTTTCCAAAATATGTAAAATTGTTAAATGAATGGCAGCTTTTTTTTAATTTATTAGGTTGGAAAGACGCAAATAGTTATATGCGTCTTTCCTTCGATGTTTTTGTGTTGCCAGGTGTATTTTTTAAGCTAAGATGAAAAGGGAAATTCGTTTTATTTAAATAAATAAACAAATTAAAAAAAAATAAGTTCGTCCTTAAAATCTTCATGTCTCTACGTATATATTTCAATATAGATACCTTTTAATATACTTTAGACACGGGGTCTGAAAGAAAAATTCATCAATTTATTTTTTATTTCCATTTTACGTTTTTGTTAGTTACTTCCTTTTTTATTATGACGGCAGAATGCCTAACCCTGTCGCCTCACGCTTGTGACGCAGTAATTTTCAGCCTTGACGGGGTTCGTTGGTTTTAGTTTTTGAGACAGTTTCGTGTTGATTTTGTACACGCGTGCGCGAGCGACAGTTCAATCGTTTTGTTTAATAAATTTACTTGTGATTACGTGTTGATATTAAAGTTTTTGTTACGTTTTTGGATTCTTTTTTGTTTTAATAATGCCTAACGCGTACGTTTATAGTGGTTATTATACTGCCGTTGGTTATTATATCAGCAACAACGTGTGCCTGGTTCCATTGAGCACATTATCTGGACGGATGAGTCGACATTTACCAGAAACGGCCTGTGGAACCGAAGAAATACACACGTGTATTCAGAGGTTAACCCGCACGCTGTTCGACAAACCGGGCACCAAACCCGATGGTCGGTTAACGTATGGACAGGTTTATTTAAGGATCGCATACTGGGACCAGTGTTTCTGCCAGAGCGACTGAACGGACAGCGATACCTAAACTTTATAAATGAACAGTTGGTTGACATTTTAAACGACCTATCGTTGGCTGAATATCGCCGCACATAGTTCCAACATGATGGTGCCCCTCCACATTTCGTGAGGTTCGTCCGTGAGCGCCTCAATGAGCTATTTGATGATCGCTGGATCAGCAGACTAGGACCACACGCTTGCCCACCTCGCTCACCAGATCTGACTCCGTTAGACTTCTTTTTGTGGGGTATGTGAAAGAAAGGGTTTTTAATCGTGAATGTGATAGTGCTGAAGAAATGCGCCAAAGGATCGTGGATGCTTTCGAGAAACTACGTACGGACTGTGTCGAAGACCACACGATGATGCCCCGCCTGCACCCAAGTCTGCCTTGAAATGAATGGAGCACAATTTGAGCCGCATCTCATAAGACCACGGAGGATTTAGAGCAGTAAGCTGATTCATAACTATTTTTTTTAAATAACTTAGTACTAGACTAATCTGAATAGGTACATAACTGAATACACGAGAATAATAAACATACCTACACGATGAATAAAAACGCATGACTCCAACCTTGGTTACATTTCATTTAAGTATTTCTTCATTAGCGGGGAATCGAACCAGTTATTTGGGTTATTTAACCTGTAAATTCGGATTAAAGTGGCTACGTGGAGATAAGCACAGTGGCAAAATAGTAGGTTAAGTAGATAAGTTAGGTATTTAGACACGTGTTGTAAATTATTAGGTATTGTTGGAAGGCCCGCTAGCTGCGGGCCGCGCGAATTTGTGTTCGCGCGTACATTGACCTTTATCTAGCTCAGGTCAGGTGATATCAATTCAGTCATTCCACTGCTGGTTTTATGTTTCAGTATTTTCATGATATTTTTTATGAAATTATCGTTTCATTTAGCTGTACTAACATGATGGCGCGTGAATAAAGCTAATAAAACCTTGTAAAAAGATGATTTTTTTTTTCATCAGGATCGAATTTATTTGTGACCCATGATCAAAGGTATACTTGGTGTTGTCGCCTGTCTTAGTTTTCGGGAGCGTTCCAAAAACACCCTGTATGAGTCATATTTTAATTTTATAGCATTGAACGATGCACGTGCCGAATATGTGCTCATGAATTCATTTAAAAAAATTTCCTCCTAACTGGCAGACGATAAAATTATTCGTCACCTTTCATGCTTGTCTTTAGCATCACGTAATATGAGAAGGTGGATTTTATTATCTGAAAAATAATAATATTAATGTTTTATACTGATGATGTATATTATAGTGTCGTGAATTAAAATAACAATGTTTATAAATATTTGAATAATATCTTATTTTTTTTTTTCTTCACAAGTTCACTGCTGGACGTAGGTCTCTCCAATTGTACGGAGGATATGTTTGGCAGGAGGATTTATGATACTAAATCGTGAACCATTGATGCTGTTGTCCATCACCGGCACAGTTATTTAAGCAATATAGTTCGATAGCTATCTATCGGAAATCAATAGATTGTTTTGGCATTTCCCATTTTTTTAGGCTTTTAGGACACACACTGGAGGAAACGAGGTGATGAATTTTCTTACCTAAATATTTAAACAGGCTATTCACATATAATTTTTTCTGTTTTTGAAATGTAGTAAAGTCAAAAGAGCAGTTTTCTTTACGTGGTAGAGCCATGCTGAAGCTATATTAGTAGTATAATTGTAGCACTAATTGATTGACTCGACAAGGGGAGGACCACGCTCTCCAAAAAAATACCAGCGTAAAATAGCAGCTAAAAACTGCTGTATTTCGTACGGTGTGTGCTGAGAACAGAAAATCTTTTTACTGGATTCGAGGCATTCTATCTTAAACCTGACGGGTCACAACGCATTTTGATTCGTAATTGATTCTAGGTGTACATATCTTTGGGCCACAGCAACCACTTACGATCAGATGGAATATGCTCGTTTGTCAGCTTTATCCTATAAAACGTCGTGTCTTTTAAAGAAAAAAATAACGTCACACTGAGATCAGTGTCACGTTATTTTTTTTAAATTGTCATACTCGTAGACACGAGTATGATAATTTTAAAAAATTGGGGATATTATATATACGCATAAACCATTTATTACTTTATATAGTTATTATATAACGCTTAAAAATTAAAATACTGACCGATATTGTGGGTTTGACTCCAGCTCTCAGGTTTCCTGCTGAAATAAAATCTAATACTGGTTGAGCACGTGCCAACATCATCATTAAAATTTTTTGATTAGAAATTGACATTTGTTCCCATGGAATATTATAAACTATATCAGCCATGTCATAACTCTAAAAATATAAAATTTTCCACTATATTTTGTTTTTTTATTAATCGATTAGTCGAGGGATACTCATCCCAATTTACCTGTCCAGTAGTTGTGGTATGGTGTACGGGTATGCGACCCCGGCTTCCCTAGCTATTACTGTCCTATTCCTTGCCCTCCTGGACGGTAATATCCTACATTTGCTATTTCCCACCCTAACTTACCTTACTCTTCTCTTTCACACCACCTATCCTTCCCCTTTTCCTATTCCTACTCTCCGCCAAACCAACGTCTGCCGCGCGGATGGATGCATGGCTAGGGGCGAGCCTAGTCGTAAGCGTGCTACACTGCCCTGGGACCGGGCGAACCCAGAATCAGGCTAGCTTTACCCTGGCATGCGGGGCTCTGCTGGGGGGAATAAACCTTTCCCTCGCTATTCGTGGGAACGCAATGGATAATCATAAAAATAATTTAATTAACCAAAATGGCGGCGATGTGATTCGCCACCCTTCACGTCTCGTTTCTCGCGGGGGCGAAAAGCGGTCCACGGAGAGCCGCTTTGCTACGTTGAATGTAAGAGGAGGAATGGATAGTAAGGTATCTATAATCGTAGAAGTATATCAGATGATGGATGAACGTTGCATCGATATTCTGTGCATGAACGAAACCAAGAGGAAAGGATGTGACACCACAGTTCATGGCCCCTACACGGCATACTGGTCGGGAGTCCCCCAAACCAGCCGAGGCTGTCAGGGAGTTGGTGTGATTCTTTCATCTCGAATGGTTGAATGTGTGATGGAGCATGAATGTGTAAGCCCAAGGCTCCTCTGGATTAGGTTGAAAGTCGGACTCACTCGCTTGTTTATCCTTGGGGTCTATGCACCAACGGATCTGTGTGGAGGTGGGTCATTAAAATTCCAACAAGAGAGAGAGAGGAATTTAGGGATAGCATGAGAGAAGTAAAAAATAAATGCGAAAAATAAATGCGGAGAAAATGAACGGATCGTGATGTTAGGGGACTTTAATGGATGGGTTGGAGTAAAGGGAACAATGGGAGAAGCCTGCTTGAAGTATGCTAGGAATGGAATCTGTGCGTGGCCAACACAATGTTTGACCACAAAAAGATCCATTTGTATACAAGAGATAAGGGTAAGTCTAGAAGTATGGTTGATTTTGTAATTGTGGATGAAAGACTGAGGAAGAAAGTGCTAGACACTCGGGCATACGGCGGTGTTGGCCTCGACACAGACCACTTCCTGGTCATAGCCCGAATGCGTGGCCTCTTTAAACGGTGGCGACACCGAGGGGCCGAGCCTACGAGTGTTTTGGACAGAGTAAAAGTGGAAAATCTATAAGAAAAAGAAAAAAGACGAGAATGTAGAGAAATTGAAAGAAGGGATAGAAGAGATAGGAGTGATTGAAGATTTGTGGGAGACATTTAAGAAAGGGGTCGTGAATGTTGCTATTGAGGTATGCAGGGTAGCTAAAAGAAGGAAATGAAGAAATAATGATAACGTGTGGATGGATAAAGATGTACAAAGGGTTGTGAAAGAAAAGAAGAAAGCATGGTTGGATTGGTTAACAACAAAAGCTAACCAAAAAGTTCAAAAGGCAACGGATGACGAGATAAAGGAAGCAAGAACGAAGTATAAAAGATTGAAAACAGCAGCGAAAGAAATTGTATCTAGAAAGAAAGAAGAACGAAAGGGTGATTTCGATAGGAGGCTCACTAAAGATTTCCAGTCAAACATTAAGTTTTTCTGAAAATCCATCAAAACAGCCATAGGAAAAACTTCTACCTTGGAGCTGAGTACAATCAGGAGTTAAGATGGGAGCCTTATAAAAGGAGAAGAATGTGTGTTTAAGAGATCGAAAGAGTATTTTGAAAGTTTGTTTGGAAGAGAGGAAGTGCAGGTACAGCATCTGCCACCTTCCACGGAAACTAATATAAATGTTGATGAAAATGAGATAAGCATGGATGAAATAGTGAAAGCGTTGAAAAGTATGAGATTAGGTAAGGCTGCAGGGTATGACAGAATTACTGTCGAGATGCTGAGGGCTGGACAGGGCCTGGTGGCTAGTCAGTTGTGCCGCCTTTTCAATCTGTGCTGGCAAAATGGGCAAGTACCGGGAGACTGGTGCAAAGCCGTAATCGTGCCATTGTATAAGGGAAAAGGGTCACGGCAGGACTGCCTAAACTGCCGCGGTATAATCCTTCTCAGCGTTGTCGGTAAATTGTATGCGTAAGTGTTGATTGAAAGGGTTGTGAATGAAACAGACGAGAAATTATGGGATGCACAAGCGGGATTTAGAAAGGGAATGGGATGTACGGATCAGGTCTTTTCCTTGCAGTGCATAGCCGAAAAGTGTTTGGCTAAAAACAAGAAGGTCTACTGCGCATTCGTAGATCTAAAAAAGGCCTATGATATAGTGGTGAGGAATGAATTGTGGTCAGCACTGTCCGTGAACGATGTGAGCAGTATCCTCATACGAGCATTGCAATCTCTTTATAGGGATTCTAGTGCTTGTGTAAGGATAAACGGGGCATACACTGAGTGGTTTAATATCGAAAAAGGTGTTAGACAGGGACGTGTAGCGTCACCTTGGCTGTTTAATATGTTCATGGACAATTGTTTGACAGATTTAAAAGAGAATGAAAGTGGATTGAGAATGAATGAGTTACTCGTCAAATGTTTTCTCTACGCTGATGACCAAGTATTACTTGCGTCTTCGGCCGAGGAGTTGCAAGAGATTGTAACTGCTATGAGTGGAGCTTTTGTTAGAAAGGGAATGAACATGAACGTAAGGAAGACGAAAGTGATGGTGTTTGAAAAAGTGAGGCAGTAACAGACTGCAATATCGTGATTGAAGATGAATAAATTGAATAGGTAAAAGTAGAGTTTGTGTATCTAGTTTCAAAGTTTAAAAGAGATGGAAAGTGTGAGAGTGATATCGAAAGAAGAGTGAATACAGTAAACATGGTGAATAGAGCCTTGCACTCCTTTATGAGCAGTCGGAAGGTGTCTAACAAGGCTCGTTTGGCTGTGCATGAGGAGGTGTTGGTTCCGACACTTATGTACGGAAGTGATAGTTGTGTATGGCAGAAGAAACATGAAAGCAGAATAAATGCAGTTGAGATGAGAGCATTAAGAAGTATGATAGGAGTTAAACTGAGTGACAGGATAAGAAATAGTGAGATAAGGGAACGTTAGGGTCTAAAAGAAGATTTAGTGACAAAAATTGAGAAAGGTATGCTGAGATGCAAACCATCTCCATGCCACGTTGAGAGAATGAATGAAGAACGATTGACGAAAAAAGTGTATAAGGCGAGTGTGAATGAAAGTGTTGGAAGGTGTAGACCTAGGCGGACATTTCTAGACCAAATCAGGGACGTATTGAAAAAAGGCCAGGTCAAGAGTACCCTAAACCGTATAGCATGTATGAAGGGAATAATGAAAGTGGACGAAGCGAAACAAGTATGTAAGGATCGTAGCAAGTGAAAAGAAGTGGTCTCTGCCTACCCCTACGGAAAAGAGTATGTATGTATTTTGTTTAAATTGACACATGAGCAATGCTATAAAAGATGAATTTAAGATATAAATAGTCTGTTGTTGATGACAGAGAAAACCAATGATTGAATTGCTTTAATTAATGGGCCATTGAATAAGCTAGTAATAACCAAACCATTAAATCAAAACCAATTCAATCCCTGCTGGCATTACTGATGTTGCTAAATAATGTCAACGATGAAAAAAATCATTGTGCGTGCCTAATAAACATAACAAATAAAAACATTTTCGAGGGCATGTAACATAAAACTTCTGTGTCAAACTCTCTTCCCTCATGAGGGCTGTGTCGGGACGTATAAAGGTTGTAACTTAATTTTTTATCCTACGGAGTTATGAAAAAAATTAACAACCATTATGCTTACCTCACGTCGTATTTCTTCCAACACCATGGACATCAATATGAGTCCTCCCAAATACACAAAAAACATTAAGCCATATAACATCAAGTCTTCTTTATCCTGCAAAATTAAATGAAAAAAATTATTAACAGGTAAAATTTATCACCGAATTCAATCTCAAATTATTATTTAAAAAAAACACGGTTTTTATGATACAGGTAACACGAAATGAATAAAACATAGTTATATCGCCTCAATCCGTCCCTGGCTCGATATTCCAAACAGCCACATCAGCACATGCATGAGAACTCGAGTGATAATTCTAAAGTAATGTAAGACGATATGATAATTGTACTAGACTTATTGTTTTAACATTTAATATGGATTCATTCCGTAACTAACCTTTGAAAGAACATTAAATCATTTTATACTTTAAATTGTGTTTTTAAAAAGACTGTCGAGGTTCGTCGCAATTTAAGTGGCGCAGCCGGTAGGATATCCGTATATATTCTGCTGTCGTGCTAACGCCTTTCGGACCCCAAAATCGGTTTAAGCGTCAGTATAGCAGTCAGGTTCGGATATCCTCGAACCAAACAAATAACTCCCGCGACGCGCGCGCTATCGTTTCCAAATCAATCGATTACGCGCATTGGATCATCGGCAGTATCGAAGTGGTCAGAATCAACTGGAGGACATGGGATTGAACATACTGTGAGTAAACCTCTTCACTTCCTGTTTACATTTATCCCATTCTTTTCCGCATTTTCCGGACTAAAATCGTCGGGCCAAATTATTTGCAATTATCTGATTTTGTTGGCACAAAATAGGCCGATAATATTCTTGCTAATAGTTTAAGTTAGATTAAGTAAGATAGTTTAAATAAAAATGGCAGTAACTGTTATTCCAGCACATATTTTAGACTTGATTCCTAAATACGATGGGGATGAAAAATTACTCAATTTATTCATCTCAAAATGTGAATATGTTTTGTTAAATTCAGGAGGCGATAATACTCCGATTCAAAATTTATATAGATTCCATGCTATAAGTAGTAAGCTTAGTGGTAGAGCTGCGACTCTACTTAGTGATAACCCTAGTTTAAGTACGTGGGAGGATTTGAAAGAAATTTTGACCCAGCATTTCGGCGACCGCCGTTCAGAGGAATGTATTGCTATCGAACTAGAATCTTTAAAAATCAAACAAGGAGAGTCATTTATTCAGTTTTGTACTAGAATACAAAATGTAAAAAGTTCTTTATTCGCTAAAGTCCAAAGACATTGTGATGAAGGAATAAAGGCAGCCAAAATGATTATATATAATAATACCGCTTTGAACGTATTTTTGTACAATTTACCTGAAGACCTTATTAGAATTGTCCGACTCAAAGGCTGTTCTACTTTGGAGATCGCTTTAAGTATAGTCACAGAGGAAATTAACTTCTTAGCTCAGTATAACGCCAAAAACAATAAAGCCAAACCAGTTCAACAATTAGCTCTGCAAAGTTTCGTGAGACCAACTGCATTTATAAATTCGAATTTGACACCAAACAATAATAATAATATTAGTAATTTCAAGTTTGGTGTACCCAATAACCAGATGGGATATAGGCCTAATTTGATGCATACGAATAAATTCACAGCACCTCACCAAAGCTACCATTTTGCATCACCACAAAATTCAATGCCACGTAATTTCAATCATCAATTTACCCAACAACCACGAGCACCATTCCAAGTTGGTGGATTTAAATTTGGCATTCTCCAACATCAAGCTCAAAAATACGGCATGCAGAATCAACAACAGCCTAATCAGCTTAGATACGGCTTTCAACAACAGCCTAATCAATTTAAATACGGCTTTCAACAACAGCCTAATCAATTTAAATACGGCATACAACAGCAACCCAACCAATTCAAATTCGGTATACAAAATCAACCGCCCAAAAACGTTTACGACACTGACGTATCTATGCGTACCGCACCAATTAGGCAAAACATGACGACGAATGATTTGTTTTTTAGCGAGGAACCTTCAACATCATGTCAAGATTTCCCTCACGATAATAATGATGGTTACTACTACGACCACTATGATGGTTTTGTAGAAGACCCTTCATTAGAAGGTCAATACCTAGAAAATTTTAATGAAATTAATAATGAAAATAATGCAGTACCTGAAAATTTTCCGATGGTAGCCCTCGAAAGCCCTCCGAAATGATCCATCTTAATTATTGCGATAGCATTTTAAAATTACCTCATATAGTAATTCCCGAAATAAGTTCGAAATTTCTAATAGATACCGGAAGCAGTAGATCCTTTATTAGTCCTGCCAAGGCTAACCAATATTTTGGTGAATTTAAATACAATGAACCTTTCACAGTTGTAAGTACCCATGCGCAAAGCATGCACGATGAAATAATTTTTATACCGCTTTTAAAAACATTCAAAAGTACTCTTCCACATAAATTTTACATATACGATGTGGACGGTAGATACGACGGCCTTATTGGTTCAGACTTATTAAAAAAGTTGGCAGCTAATATCGATATGAACCACCAAATTTTACGAACACCTAATACCGAAATCCCAATAATTTATAATCCACCTTATGAAATTAATTTAGAACCAAGATCGGAAACACGAGTAAAAATACCCACCAACTTACAAAACGGGGACGCAATCATTGATTTTACACAATTTAGTGAGGGAGTTCGTATGCCATGTGCCCTTATCAAGTGTGATAATTTCTTTGCCGAAACCATTATTCAAAATGTGTCGAATGAAAAAGCTAATATTAAATTTATAGAACCGTTTAATGTAACTGTATTTGAAAATAATGAGTGTGCCATATGTGTGCATAATGTGATAAATTCCGATTGCGAGATAGATGAGATTTTAAAAGAAAATTTAATTAAAATACGATTAGATCATACAAATGAGGAAGAACGGAAAGCTATAACTAAATTATGCTATGAATACCGCGACATATTTTATAGTGAGAAAATTCCGCTTTCTTTCACAAATCAGGTAAAACATAATATTAGAACAGTTAACGAAGATCCTATATATATCAGACCGTATCGCCACCCACCTTCCCAAAATGAGGAAGTACAAAGGCAAGTAGACAAACTTCTTCAAGATAACGTAATCCAAAATTCTCACTCACCTTGGAGCGCACTGGTTCACTTAGTCCCCAAAAAGGCAGATGCATCCGGGCAGCCTAAATTTAGAATGGTTATAGATTATCGGCGATTAAATGAGAATACAATAGACGATAAATACCCGTTACCTAATATAACTGACCTTTTTGATAAGTTAGGCAAATCTGTATATTTCAGTACCCTTGACCTGGTAAGTGGCTACCACCAATTAGAAGTTAATGAAGCTGATAGGCCAAAGACAGCTTTCACAACTCAATCCGGTCACTATGAATTCAAACGCATGCCGTTTGGATTAAAGACAGCCCCTGCAACTTTCCAAAGAGCAATGGATAATATCTTAAGAGGCCTCCAAGGTCTCCATTGCTTAGTGTACCTCGATGACATAATTGTGTATTCGGCTAGTCTTCAGGAACATATCGAAAAATTAAGGAAAATTTTTGACCGTCTCAGAGAAACTAATTTAAAAGTCACGTTAGATAAATGTGAATTTTTGAGAAAAGAAGTTCTATATCTAAGTCATACGATTACAAAAGAGGGTTTAAAACCAAATGACGAAAAAATTAAAGCAGTACTAAAATATCCATTACCGCGTACAGCCACCGAAATAAAAAGTTTTCTCGAGTTAGTAGGGTATTACAGAAAATTCATTAAAGACTTCGCTAAACTTACACAACCGCTTACCTCTTGCCTGAAAAAGAAAAACAAAATTGAGATTACAAAAGAATATATAGACGCATTTGAAAGATGTAAAGAGTTTTTAACAAACGCCCCACTTTTACAATATCCTGACTTCTCTCGACCGTTCGTTCTCACCACAGATGCGTCGAACTCTGCTCTCGGTGCAGTTCTATCGCAGGGACCTATCGGTAGTGATAAGCCTATAGCCTTTGCAAGTCGTACGTTGAACGATGCTGAAACGAAATACAGCACAATAGAAAAAGAACTTTTGGCAATCGTTTGGGCAGTCAAACATTTCCGCCCTTACTTATATGGAAAAAAAATTACAATTTACACTGATCATCGCCCTTTAGCCTGGTTAAACTCCATTAATGAACCGAATAGCAAACTAACTAGATGGAAGTTACGCCTATCGGAATTTGATTACGAAATAGTGTATAAGAACGGGAAACAAAATTGTAACGCTGATGCTTTATCTAGAATTAAGATTAACGCCTTAACTGATAACGATGATGTTTCCATGCAAGTGAATGTAGACAAAAACGAAAAAAAACTTCAACGCCATTTGAGCAATATAGTCTCTAAAATTGTACAGCTAGGTAATTCGAATCAGGCGGGAGACGTAGTAACAGTATCATCCGATTCGGAAACGTTAAGTATTCCCTCTTTACATGGTAGACAATCTCCATATCCGATACCATCTCCAAATAGTAGCACCGCCACAGCTTCTGAAGGACACAGTAGTAACAATACAGTACATTCGGCTAAAGACATAGACACAGCAGGAATATTAATTCTCTAGGAAGCAATTGATGCGAAACCGAATCAAATACTCGTTCATACCTGGAACAGAAATGAATGTTCGGTTAAAAACTTGTCTAGGGATAAACAGAACATATTGGAAGTTCACTTACCATTAAACAATTTGGATTTAATTAAAAAATTCCTGAAAGAGTATATCAGACCTAAAATTAAATATTTTTTTTATTTCGAAGATGTCATACATCGCAAGAAGTTTTCGGAAATCACAACGCAATTATTCAAAAAGGATAGTGTTAAATTTTATGAATGTACAAAGAGGATAGTATATGTAGAAGATGAAAATGAGCAACGCGAAGTAGTTCTTAAATATCATTTAGGTAAAAATTGCCATAGAGGTATTAGGGAAACATTAGTACATTTGAGGCGAACGTTTTATTGGAATAATATGGAACAAACGGTAGCGAGCATTATAAACTCATGTGAGGTCTGCAAGAAAATGAAATACGACCGTAAACCCCTAAAACCTCAACTTCAATTGACTCAAACCCAGTCTAAGCCATTCCAAGAAATTTTCATTGATACCTTTTCGATAGAAGGCAAGTATTTTCTAACCCTGATAGACGCGTTCAGCAAATTGGGTCAAGCAATTGAAATTAATAGTAGGTCTACCCCGGAAGTAATAAGAGCTTTAATAAAGTATTTTTCATTTTACGGAATTCCATCCAAAATCAGTTCAGATCCCGGTATGGAATTTAATAACGTACTCTTAAAGGAAATGCTTACATTATACAAAATCAATCTACACATTGGTACTGCGCATAACCCCAACTCTATGGGACTTATCGAAAGGTTTCATTCAACTATTACTGAAATTTACCGAATCGCGAAATACGAACATAAAATTACAGACGCAGCGTCAGTGATGACGTATGCTGTTATGTCATACAATACATTCAATTCACTCTTCGACAGATCTAACGCCTTTTGAAGTAGTATTCGGACACACCGAATCCAATAGTACATTTGCCATTAATTTTGATAGGCAATTCACACAGCAGTTAGTAAAAGATCACGCTAAAAGGACCAAATATTTATATGAATATCTTACGGATAAAATAATTGACAAAAAGTTGACGGTGAGAGAAAAACACGCAGGCGAATCACAGTTCGATATAGACGTAGGTGATACTGTGTTCATAAAAGGTGTTAATACTAGACGGGGCAAAGATAAACCACGTTACCAAAAGGCTCATGCCACCGGTGCTATAAAAAGAAATGTAGTTCCCGTTGAAACCAATAAACGTATTACTAATGTTCCTATTAAAGACATAAAACGTCCTTCGCAGATTATTTCTACTGGTGATCCGAACAATGGGAAGCCAGGCCCTTCATCAGCTTCGCATTGACAAGAATCCGGGATTGTTACCTGTTGACGAAGGTCAAGCATTTGTTAATTATGATAACTGGATAGTTATTAAGATATTAGATTTAAATTTAATTTACGATGAATTAGAATCAAGTATGAATAAATATGGGTTACTTAAAAAGCATGTTCAAAGTTGTTTCGATACTAAATCATTTGATTCAGATTTTACTACCGTCCAATACCAAACCGATTATACTATGAATATTACCATCGACAAATTTAAACAATTAATTCCTCCATTACGAACCAAAAGAGGTCTCCTCGATCCGGTAGGCTCTTTGATAAAAGCCATCACAGGTAACTTAGATAATAATGACGCTCTTAGATATGAAAGATTAATAAGTAAGCTACATACGGAACAAAACGTGATTGAAAATAAAATGACAATAGTTTCCGAAATGGTGGGCTCATTTACAGCATGGCAAATTCTACTAAAAGCAATTTTATACGATTAGAAAATAATATTCAAAACATTAATCAAGCTTAAACAACTCCGATTTTCGACAGACCATTACCAAACTCATTCATCTTTATAATATCTTCCTTGATAATTTTCATAATTTATATTTCCATTTGAGTGAAATCGAAACAGCCATTGCTTTTAGTAAAATTAATGTACTACACCAGTCAATAATTGATACAGAAGAACTTATAATATTGCTTAAGGAAATAGAACAAACTGACAAATTAGTGTTTCCTGTCACTTATGAAAATATTGTAAAATTAGAAAGATGTATCGAGATAAAAGCCTATATTAAACAGAATCAGATAAAGTTTATTATGAGTATTCCACTTATTAGAAATGAAATTTTTAACTATTATAAATTAGTTCCCTTACCTGTATTACATAATGGCCAGACGACTCTCATCCTACCTAAAAATCCGTACCTACTTGTGAAAGGGTTGAAAGCAACACCGCTCTCTCAGTCATGTCGCGAGGTCGACGAACGCCGATTCCTGTGTCATGAGAACGACATACAACTCTTCACCAATGACAACTGTGTCGTAGAAATCATGCAGTTTCACACAAATATCTCAAGTTGTCACCCGATCCCTGTCACCCTAGAAAATGTGAAGATCTACCTCATACAACCAAATCGCTGGATAGTTTACTCAAATACTGAAACAGCTATGACTAAATTCTGCGACAATGAAGTAAGCCAAGAGATTCTACTAGGAACCTACCTCTTAACTATGGATGATAACTGCAAGGTGAAAATCAAAGGATACGAACTGAAAAGACATCAGACTCAAGGTAAAGAAATAACCTACCTAAGACAGCCATTAATAAACTTACCAAAGATAATACTCAACCCCTCAAGCACTCTGAAGAAGCCTGTGAATCTCGATGGAATTAATATAGCAGACGTACAGTTCCTGAATCTATTACTGCAGAAAAGTATGGGAGAAGTTAGTGACAGTGAGTTAAGTGAAAATGCAAAAAGTGAAATTACTAATAAAAGTGTTAGTTTAGTCAATATCATTATTTTAATTATTATATTAATTATTTTAATTATTATTTTTAAACATAAATTAATTGAAATCTGTAAAATCTGTAAAATTCGTGATAATCCCGAGGATAATCCCGAACTTGTGGAGGGAGGAGTTATATCGCCTCAATCTGTCCCTGGCTCGATATTCCAAACAGCCACATCTGCACATGCGTGAGAACTCGAGTGATAATTCTAAAGTAATGTAAGACGATATGATAATTGTACTAGACTTATTTTTTTAACATTTAATATGGATTCATTCTGTAACTAACCACCTTTGAAAGAACATTAAATCATTTTATACTTTAAATTGTGTTTTTAAAAAGACTGTCGAGGTTCGTCGCAATTTAAGTACATAATCAATATATTGTATCATGAAGACAAGAAATCATAACTAAGAATATAAACACTACCTACGTGTTCTAAATTGTATTTACATACCCCAAACATAACTTGATATAGCAAAAGGCTATCGCTCACTAAATTATGGCAGTAATTGGCAGTCACATTGTAGCCAAAAGCATCTTGAACATCTTCAAAAACTCTGGAACAAGATTTTTTTGTTATTTCAAGGCAATTTGTTAAAGAGTAAGAAAAAATAACATTAAACACTTACTCAATTATGAAGGAATGATATTTGATCAAATTAGTTAACTTTTTCTCCGCTTCATGATTATTTAAACTACCAGATAATTCCATTTGAAATCTATGCTTCCAGATTTGTATATGACCAATTAGGTGAAACACGAAAATGTAATTAAGTGTATTGTAAATGATTACAATCGAGCAAGCTATAAATCCTAAGTAGAAGTTTATTGTGTAGATTATTGCCCAATTACGAATATTATAACTGTAGTCGAAAGGCATCCAAAAATGTATTATTGATTGTAACATAACAGTTTGATTTTTAACGCTATCCATATTTTTTGAAAAGTGTCTCAGAGGCATGATAAGCCACAATGCTCAATCAGTCATCACGCATACAATCAAAAAGTATCCCATCCAGCGTGTATAATGTTCTACATTAAGCGCTTTCTGTAAAATAAGTTATTATTTATCAATGATGTTAACAGTGCTGATTATTGAATAGACTTTAACTATTGAATCGTAATTAATACTTTCGAATAATTTATAATAAGACTGAAGTGTCTGTCTGTAATATTGAAAACTGGCTCCTATTTAGTTTAGGGGGTTATATGCATTTTATTAATATTTATACAAATTTTTAAAAAAATTAATGGTTACCTATATAACCATTTTAAACTCATTATGTCTGTCCGGGCTAATATTAGCAGTGGTTGTTACGATTGTGATGTGTGTGTGTGTGTGTGTGTGTGTGTGTGTGTGTGTGTGTGTGTGTGTGTGTGTGTGTGTTGTTATGTAACAGATTGAAAGCAAAGCTGAGAATGATCAAGGCTAGATTATGACCGAAATTATTAGAGATTTTAACTGAAATAACGAAAAATCTTATTATAGCCACTTAAATAGGTCCTACCCAGGCGAAGCCAGGGCATGTCGCTAATGTGTTTTGAGAGCACAGTTTTTTGGCACAAATTAAAACTAAACACAAAATCTTAATTATAATACTAATATATTATTTTAAAAGGTGTGTAATATTTTTTATTTTTAAATTTAATTGGACAGTGGAATTACAGAGTTTTATACTCCTGTTTGCCTGTTTTTATTACCGAGACTGTCATAATTAAAAAAAAAAACTATTCGAGTGCATATTGACGGATATTGAATGTGGAATTAGGTTAAATTAGGATATTTCTGGGTAGCAGGATTCTCTGTTTTACTTAGAGTCAGTCTGAGGTAGCACCTTTTTAACCAGTTTGTGTCGCCAAAGAGCAGTGCATGCACTGCTGTGATCCGGTCTGAAGAGTACATATATCTATTTATTTAAAACCTAAAAGATTTTTAATATTGATATCATCACTATAAGATGTTGTCAGGTTAGCTAATTACGTAATAATTTGAGACAGAAGGACCCTTAAGTAGGGACTGAATAAATTAACCGACTTGGTATTACATGGGTCCCACTTATTTTTACAGTAGAAGAACTGAGTTGCGAGATTTGTTTTTTTTTTACAAATTATGTTTTTGATAGCATAAAGAGTTTACTAAGATATAAAAGTAGCCTCATATCTATAGTCTCCGAATAGGTATTTAGCTAAAAATATGGGTTTGGATGGAAAATTGTAAAAGAAGTATTAGGTTGCTAGGCCATCGGGTATATATAAAAGAAGCCCAATATTTTGCGTGTGAAAAAAAAATACAACGAAGTAATCTTATGAAGCTTTCTTAACTTAAATATGGTTTTTCGTCTATTTTCAATTTAATAACATATTCCTAAAACAAATATTCAATAAGATTTGAAATATACAATATTTTATTATATACAAATAATAAATAATAACAACGATAAAAAAACTAAAACTAGAAACTTAATTATCACATACTCCTACTTTAGGAACTTCACCGCACGTGGACCCCACGGACCGATAGTCTCTACAGCAAATGGCACACATATGTAGTCATCTCTCAGAGACTCATATTTCCGCCACTTAGTTCAGCTGCCTCTGATGTCGCCCCGGCTCTAAACGAGGTACCCCTGAGTTGAGAGGCCGCCAGAGTATCTACGCAATAGGAATCCCACAACAGGGTTTTACCTCTGTCCCAAGGGACCAATGTCATACCGTCTAATTGCCTGCCATCGTCTATAAATATTCCACAAGGCTCTAAAACCGAGGGAACATTTAAAGAGACAAGAGCCCTTCGGATGACATCGTTCTAAGAACTGTGTCGTCAAAGGTTTTCACGACACAGTTCTTTGAACCAGCACTTTTCTTATATGAAAGTCCGTGGAGCCCAAACTTGTCGACACTGCTAGCACAGGGACACCGATGGGGTTGACAGATTTGAAATATCATTCGATAAGTTGGTTTATGTTATAATCTGTCACTTCAAGCAGTAGCAAAAAGGTCAACCTCGAAAGATCCGCGTATATTTACTGCACTGGTCAGGCGATCCGCTAGCATATTGATGAGCATAGTGCTGATAACCTTGCACTTATCTTGTAAAAGATACAGAAGCGTCAATAACTATGCACTCATTTAAAAATAGATGTGGCAACTAACTGGTGCATTCGCCATGAATTTCATAATACGCGAGTAAACCGAATTCGACTCCCGCGGACACTAATGAAATTTTGCAATTTTTAGTGCTCACATCCTCCACGATTGTTGACTTTTGTACAATTTTTAGTGCTCACGTCCTCCACGATTGTTGACTTTTACCTTTACGTTTACCATGTCGTGTTAAAACAACGTGAGAAAATCTGTATATCTGCTAAATGGAAGAAAATATCAAGACCATGTAAAGTCCAACATCACGCATTAGGGAAACGCGTTGGACTCTTGAATATTGTTGTCCAATAACCCTTCTTGTATTTCACTCAGCTTGTTAATTTTTTTTATAGGATAAGGGTGACAAACGAGCACACAGTCCACCTGATGCTAAGTAGTTGATGCGGCCCATAGACATGTACGTCTCTCCTCGTTTGCGAATCAAAATGCAGATGCGTTGCCACCCGTGAGGACTAAGATGGAATGCCTCATTTCCAGTAAAAAAGGCCTCCGGCCACCTGCACTAACCAAGCGAAATGCAGAGGTAAACCTCTACTTCACGCTGGTATTCTGTGAGGTCGTGGTACCACCCCGGTTCGAGCCGGCCCATCCGTGCGACAGCAAAAGCTGCCGCGTGGCTCTACCACAAAAAAGCTGCTTTTTTGGTGGTTGTCTAGAAAATAAAAGAATTAACAATACAGTAATATGTCAGATAATTTAGGATTATTAAAATATTGTTAAACTTTTAGCATTATTAAAATATTGTTAAACTTTTAACGGTGGTAGAGCCCCGCAGCAGTTTTTGCTGTTGCACGAATGGGCCGGCTCGAGCCGGGTTGGTACCACGACCTCACAGAATACCGGCGTGAAGTAGAGGCTCTGCTTCTGCGTTTCGTCTGGTGAGTGCAGGTGGCCGGAGGCCCAATTCCCCCCCCCCCCCCATCAACATGGTAGCGGAATTAGACAATAGACTACCTCAGGAGGGTACCAGTACCCCTGGAGAATGCCTCGCTGAGCGTCCACGACCATGTTATTCCAATCCTGAGCGTGGGTGCTCAGGCTGCCCCGCGTATTCTGGGGGGGGAGGGGGGGCAAAATTCCGCTCAAAAACAAAACTGCTCTGGGCAAACTGAGCAACAATACCAAGGCAACCCTTGCCACGCTATCCGTGAATTTCTGCAACATCAGGGGACTTCACTCTAACCTAAACGCCGTCCACTACCATCTCGAGACGGCGAAGCCGGCCTTGCTCTTTCTGACCGAGACACAGGTGTCCTCTCCGGCTGATATTTCGTATCTCTCCTACCCGGGGTACAAATTGGAGCACTCCTTTGTGCCTCGGGCTGGAGTTTGCGTGTATGTCAGAAAGGACATCTGTTGTCGACGCCTCGGCAGTCTTGAAGGTTCGGACCTGTCCATCCTTTGGTTACGCGTAGACAGCGACGACCATCCGCGCGTCTACGGGTGCCTCTATAGGTCCCATAGCGGTAATGCCGAAACAGACCGACTCATCGACCACGTCCAAATGGCTGCAGATTCCTTGCTACAACAGTTCCCATCCGCAGAGATCGTGATCCTTGGCGATTTTAACGCCCACCATACCGAATGGCTCGGTTCACGTTTAACCGATCATGCGGGGAGATCTGTTTATGACTTTGCCTTGGCATATGGTCTGACACAACTAGTTACTTCGCCTACGCGGATTCCAGATGTGGAGGATCATACACCTTTCCTGTTGGATCTTCTGCTGACCTCTCATCCGGACGGATATCAGGTTTCCGTCGATGCCCCTCGGCTCTCGGCTCTCGGCTCTTCGGACCATTGTCTGATCCGGAGTATGGTGCCACTCACGCTCCCTTCGCGGTTGCGTTCTGCAGGTTGCCGCCGTGTTTGGCATTACAGGTCGGCGGATTGGGACGGAATGCGGTCTTTCTTTGCATCCTACCCATGGGGGCGGGTTTGCTTCTCGCCGGATGATCCCAGCGCTGTTGCTGACTCTGTCACTGATGTGGTGCTACAGGGAATGGAACTATTTATTCCATCATCTGTGGTACCTATCGGAGGCAGATCTCAGCCTTGGTTTGGTCGCTCCTGTAAGGCTGCATTGCGCAGTAAGCAGGAGTGTTATCAAGCCTGGGCTGCGGCTTCGGTGACTCGGGATGTAAATACCAGCACACTTAAAAAGAAGTATAACTTCGCCTCCAGGTCCTTCAAAAGAGTTATTGCCAAGGCAAAGTCAGAGCACATAGGCAAAAATTGGCGAGAAACTAGTTCGACTTCCTTCGGGAACCCGTGAATTCTGTTCTCTCGCCAAGGCTGTCCAAGGGAATTTCTGTAAGCCATCACTACCATCTCTGCACAGGGAGGACGACTGACTGGCCCAAGACGCAAAAGACAAAGCCGACCTTTTAGGCTCCCTTTTTGCGTCCAACTCGACTCTTGATGACGGGGGGAAAATACCGCCGACCATCCCGCGGTGTGAGTGCTCCATGCCGGATGTGCTATTCTCACAGCGCTCAGTTCGCAAAGCACTTCTCTCCCTGGACATCCAGAAGTCGAGTGGGCCTGACG